ATGTTGCTGCTGATCTGTTTCATGCTGCTGTGTTCATTTGTGCTCATTTGTTTTCGCTAAGTTTTCGCATTGGAGATTGTTCAAGCCTACGTTGTTTGTTTATTTTATATTTTTAAGTAAGGAGCAGATATTATAATAATTTTCTTCTTCTTTCTGCACCTTTTCATTCAGTGTATTTTTCTCTTTTTAATGGATTAGTTTTGTTTCTTTTTAATGAATGAATAAATGAATTTTAAAAAGCACATGTGGATTATGACGTCAGAGAAGCATCAGTTTTTGCAGCTCCAACAGTGGACTGATGGAGGACACCTGTAACTTGTTCTGCTCTCCTGCTCTGGCGTCTGGCAGCACATGTGACATCGTCAGTCCAGGGCTCAGGCTTCGGTCTGGAGGCGCTGATCTTTAATGGAGCCACAGCATCTTTAAAGATGTGAGACATTAAAGATCTGAAGCTGTCGACCTTGACCTCTCTGAGTGGCTTCAAACATCTGTGAAGTTCCTCCAAGAACCAGACATGTTCCTGTTTTTAGTTTTCTACACCGCCATGATCTAGCTGCTTTTTTGTTTGTTCACTACTGTTTTCCTTTTAACTGTCCTTTTGGTTGCCATTTTATTTTAATTTGTTAAAAAAGATTGTATGCCACTTTTATGATCGTCTATTGTTGTTGTTGTGGTTGTTGTTGTTGTGGTTGTTGTTGTTGTTGTTGTCCACTGTTGTCACTCTTTGTTAAAATCAGGTGTCTCTTGCAGATGAGTCCCAGAGGCTCAGTGAGACTAACCTGTAGAAATAAAGGTTGAATGAGAGAAAAAGCATCTCAGTCTGAAAAGCTGAGTTAAAATGAGAGGAGAGAGCCTGAGCACCTGAACAAGGACCCACAGGATCTCTGGAGCTGGTGTCACAACTACAAGCTGCAGAGAACTGAGCAGCAGTGAAGGAGTTAACGACCGGCATTGAAACCATGAACTAAAACATTTAAAACCATGAGCTAAAGCATAAAAACTATGAGCTAAAGCATAAAAACCATGAGCTAAAGCATAAAAACCATGAGCTAAAGCATAAAAACCATGAGCTAAAGCATAAAAACCATGAGCTAAAGCATA